TAAGGGAAGGAGGGGCCATTAAAATGTGAACTCCTTGAGAGCAGGGACCATGTTTGCCTTTCTATGGATACCCAGCACTTACATAGTTCCTGATGCATTAATAAATGTTTCTTGGCTGACTCAGAAAATTGATTGCCTTTGGGGTCAAACCTTTACCCTTGGGATTGAACTCAGAAATCTTTGTTGCCCTCTCTCCCTGGACTTTAAAGGTCCAGAAGGAAGAATGAAGCTTTCCTTTGGGAAAGCTCTAAATCAATACACTGAACGATGACTCTTGCAAATACGCACAAAATTGGAAACTACTTATGGGCTAGGACTACATTTTATTTAGGACCATTTAATTCACAGATACTAGGGATCTTATACATCATCTGGTCTTATACCTTCATTTTACATTTGAGGAAACTGTGGCTCAGAGAAATGAAACTGTCAAAGGTCACAGAGACAGAGACTGACAAAGCCAGAATTCAAAACATAAATCTTCTGTCTTAACAGGCAGTGTTCATTTCACCACTCAACAACTTGTTTTTTATATTTCTTCCTAGTGGAAGGTATCAACAATAGTAGGTGCTAAATAAAAGTTTTAGAATGAAAGCAATGATCTTAAAGTCAGACAAACATATTTTTGTAACAAAATCCATTTCAAAACCTAGAATCCTTTTAAACAAACGTTATCTTCCAAAAATTCCTAATTTAGTTTTTGTTGTTGCTGTTTAGTCATTTCAGTCATGTCCCACTCTCTGTGACCCCATTTGGAATTTTCTTGGCAAAGATACTGGAGTGTTTATCATTTCCTTCTCCAGCTCATTTTACAGATGAGGAAACTAAGGCAAATAGGGTTAAGTGACTTACACAGTGTCTCACTGCTAGTAAGTGTCTGAGGCCAGATTTGAACTCAGGAAAATGAGTGTTCCTGACTCCAAGCCTGGCTCTCTATCCACTACACTACCTAACTGAGCTTTTACAAGGATGTAATTCCCATTCTTGCAAAAAAAATTAGAAACTATATCAGATTGCATGCCATCTTGGGGAGGAAGGCAGGGATGGAGGGGGAGAAAAATTTAAAACTCAAAAGTTTATGGAAATGACTGTTGATAAATCAAAATAAAATAAAAACAATTTAAAATTAGAAAACATAATATACAGATATCTCCTTAATATAAACAGTATCTATCTAAAATAGAGAACCAGTATCACGTGGAATGCTAACAAGAACAAGGATAAAGCAAGGATGGGTCCATTGTCATCAGTCACCATGACCACTTGATATAGTGCTACAAATGCTACCTACAGCAAAAAGAAAAAGAAACTGAAGCAAAAAAAATGGTATCACTTTCTGTAAATGATACTATGAATCCTGGAGCTTTAACTAAAATTAATTGAAATAATTTTGATAAGGTTGTAGGATGGGAAATAAATCTACTTAAATTGCCAGCATTTCTACACATTACCACCAAAATCCTGCAGGAAGAGATAGAGAAATTCCATAAAATAACTAGAGAATGTATAAAATACTTGGGAGTCTACCTGTGAAGATATACATAGGTACTAAATGCATAAAACTAAAAACACTTTTTACATAAATATTCATAGGAATATTCATTCTTCATTGTTAGGAAGAGCTAATACAACAAAAATTACAACACTAACAAAATTAATTTATAACTTCAGCACCATATCAATCAAATTATCAAAAGATTACTTTACAGAGCTAGAAAACAAAACACCAAAATTTGTTGGGATAAACAAAAGGCCTAGGATATCTAGGGAAATTTAAAAAGTGGAAAGGAAGAAGGCCAAATGGTACCACATCTCAAACTGTGCTATAAACAGTAATACTCAAAACTATTTGGTACTGGTTAATAGAAAGGTCAATCAGTGGAAGAGAAACAAATAAACAGTAGCCTGGTGTTTTAATAAAAGCCCTAGCTAATGGGACAAGAACTTGCCATTTGGGAGAAGAAGAAAAAAAAAACTGCTGAGAAAACTGGCAAGCAGTCTGGTAGAAGCTATGTATAGACAAACATATGAACTATATACCAAAATAAATCCAGATGGATATAAAACAGACATGAAGAGTAACATCATTAAAAAAATAGAGGAACATGAAAGAAATTATCTTTCAGCTCCCTAGATAGAGACATAACTCATAACTAAACAAGGGATAGAAAGACTCTTGGTAAATAGATAATTTGATTACATAAAGTTAAAAAGTTTTTGCATAAAGTTAACGTAGCTAAAATTAGAAGGGAAAAAAGTCAATTGGGGAAAAAAATCTTCACTGCCATCTCTGACAAAGGTCTAATTTCCAAGATACACATTCAAGATTCAAGAATACAAGAATAAAAGCCATTCCCCGAAGTGATAAGTATATCAACGAAATGACCAGTCAGTTTTCTAAAGAAAAAAAAAATTAAAGTTATCTAAAGCTATATGAAAAAAGGCTCCAAATTACTAAAAGTTGAAGAAAAGTAAATTAAATAAATTCTAAGGAGCCATCTCACACCCATAAAATTAGCAAAGTTGATAAAAAAAAAAGAATGTTAGGAAGAATTATGGGAAAAAACGCACATTATTGCAACATTGGGAGACCATTGGTCTACCCATTCCAGAACCGAACTGTCCATCCACTTTTTTAAAATTATTTTTAGGCAACTGGGGTTAAGCGACTTGCCCAGATAGTAAGTGTCAAGTGTTTGGTCTGAGGCCACATTTGAACTCAGGTCTTCCTGACTTCAGGGCCAGTGCTCTATCCACTGTGCCACCTAGCTGCCTCCGTCCATCCTCTTTGAGCCATGGATAATCTTCTTGGGCTTATACCCCAAACAGATGAAAGAAGAAAACAGACTAATTTGTACAAAAATACCTATAGAAACTCTTTTTGTAGTGATAAAAAAAACGGAAACTAAGCCGAAATCTATCAACTACAGACTGGCTAAACAAATAATAATGATGTGAATATAATGGAATACTATTGTGTCATAAGTAATGATAAAAGGAATAGTTTCAGTGAAACCTAGAAAGACTTCAATGAATTAATACAGAATAAAGTGAGCAGAACTAGGAGGAAAAAAAACATACAATAACAATATTATAAAGACAAACAATTTTGAAAGACTTAAGAATTATGATCAACCCAATGATCAAGCACAATTACAGAGGAGCAGTGAAGAAATTTTCTCACTTCTTAACAGGGGAGACTCATGATTCATAATGAGGGATGTATTCTGGAATATGGCTAATGATGGAACTTACTTTGCTTTCTTATGTACTATGTGAATTTGGGTTTTGTTTATTAATCCTTTTATTATGTTATTATCAAATGAAACAAAGATATATGCTTGAAGAAGGTGCTCATTACTTTCCTAAAGCATGTCTTCAGCAGAATCCAAATGGAAGAATTTCCTATAGCGATTAGTTTTGCTTAATTATTTAATCTGTGCAAGAGAGCTCTCACAGAGAGGGAATTCTCTTGAAATATGTGTAATGTAACAACACAAATACATTAATACAACCTTAAGAAACAAAAAACAGAAACAAAAAATAAAGTGCAACATAAGGGAGCAAAAGTGATCCAACTTTTCTTCCTCCTATTCAGCTCTGTGCCCAGCTCATTACCTACCTGCAATGCATATATATGATACATGTACTGATGGACTATATGTATTTGTTACAAGGGTTTTGTGTTTTCTTTTTCCATTTTCCTCAATGGAAGCTGCAGAAAGGGGGAAATAGAATTTTGTTCATCGAAGAAAATTAAATTAATTATTTTTTTAAAAATCCTTCTTTATTTCACTGGTCATACTTTCACACGATGCATTTAATGGGAATCAAAAACACACCATCTCACAAACTTAAATGTTGACTTAACTTGACAAATGGTTAATATCCCCTTTGTTAGTTAATTAAAGTATCACTCCAGTATTACAACATAAGCCCTTTGAGAGTAAAAAGTGATTTTTGATTAGTTTTTCTATACATGTATCTACTCATTGATAGAATCTCAGATGGTAGGCTTAGAAGAGACCTAAGAGATCACAGTATAACCATATGTAAGTAGGAACCTTCTATACAACATCCTAGACAAGCAGCTCTTCAGTTTGAAGACCTCCAATGGTGGCAACTCACTATTTTTCACAATACAACAATACAACTAATTTTTACTAAATTTTTCATTAGCTGGAGCTGCCAACTATGTAACTTCCAACTATTCATATAGTTCTCTGTTGAGCAAATGTTAAAAAAAAAAGGTTTAATTCATCTTACACATAGTTCTCTTGAAATATTTTAGGAACTGTCATCATACCCTAAATAAGTATTTTCTTTTCCTAAATATTCACAGTAGCTTCAATGGAATTTCCAGTGGGGCTGGTTTTGAGTACCCTCATCACTTGGGTGATAACTATCTCAGTGAAGACCATCTCCTGCACCAATGTGAGTTGGTCAATGTAGTTAATAAAATGTAGCCTCATAAATAAACTCAATATTAATGTTATGGTCTAAGCATGGCAAAGTTATAACAGGACTGTCATCGAATCATAGACTTAGAGCTGGAAAAGTCTCTAGAGGCCACCCAATCTAACCTCTTCACTTTAGAAATACGGAAACTGCTCACAGAAATTAAGTGACTTAAGATCCCTGACTTCAAAGTCAGTGAACGCTGCCTCACCTCCATCATCTTAGTCTTATACTAAAATTAACGCTGTGAAAAGCATAAAAACACTTAAAAGTTACTCATAACTTGGGTAACATGGTAAAAATTTTCATCAAAGCTAGGTGTTGTGGGAGCTCTGACCCTTGGAATATCACTAGAATAATTAGCAATCACGGTCATTTCGGCTCTCTCACAAAGAACCTGGACACTGCTCTTCGTTCCCCAGGACTCACAGGGTCACGCCCTGCTCCTCGCAGTTCGGGGGTCATGCCCTGCTCCTCGCGGTCCCCGGGCCACCCCCCCACCCCCCGCCCCGAGCCGTGCCTCCCACCCAGGCCGGCCTCACCTGATGGTTCTGATCACAAAGTACACCAGCACCGCGGCGCTCACCACCATCAGCACCAACAGGGCCCTCTGGGTCATAGGCTTGTCGCTGGAATTCGGGGACACGGCCAGGCCGCCCCCTCCGACTCCGGCAGGCCCAGCTCCCGGGCCGCTGCCATTGCCGCTGAGCCCGGCCTGCCCGGAAGGGGACACGGTCCTGCCACCGCCCGGGAGGCCCGCAGGGAGGGCAGTGCCCGAGGCCCGGGGCGGAGGCGGGGGCTGGGAAGGCGGCAGAGGGGCCCCCGGAGCTGAGGGTCTGGGGGCGTGGGCGGCCGCTCCGTCCAGCAGCAGCAGTAGCAGCGGCAGCAGCGAAGACAGCGGCCCGCTCAGCGGCAGCAGCAACGCGGCCGACAGCAGGCGGCGGCAGCGGCAGCAGCGGCAACGCGAGGACCGCATTATCCCCGCGCCGCCCACTCAACACGCCGCACTCGCCGGCCCCACCACCGCGGCCCCGGCCCAGGCCAGGGCTCCGGGAAGAACCATGGGCGCAGCAGAGGCGGAGGCGGACGCCCAGGAGGAGGAACCGGCGGCGGAGGCCAGGCCCGGGCCACTGGGGGAACCGGAAGTTTGCACATCTCCAGAGACGCCCGGCTACTAGGGACGCTTCTTGTTGCCATAAAACGGCAGGAAGGGCGGAGAAGGAAGCGTCCGGTGATGTCACGCACAGAAGGTGGCCACGTGGTGATCCCGGGGAAGGGCCTAGCTGAGCGTGCGGAGCGTCCGAGTAAGAAATGCTTGTGTGTGTGGCTGGTGGAGGAAGATTACTTGTTGAAGTCGTCTGAGCAAGGGGTATATAAAATCATTTTCCCATTATTTAGAGAATGGGGACTCATTCTTTCTTTCAAGAGACGTATATTAAATCCACTATCTGCAAATGCACCAACATCTCGCTAATCCAGAAAGCTAATCCATTAAGCACTTGTCTCAGTGAATATCAGGATGCCACCTGGTATTCAGGATGAAGACTTGGGTTAGGACACCCACAAGCTGAGTGAACCCAGACAATTCACAACCTTTCAGTGTCCCCCGGCCAGCGCTTCTTTCTTACGTCGCTTTTGTGGAGTTATAATTCCCACAACAAATACATTCTTCTTGTCACGCTGTTACTGGCAAGTTGTATTTCTATACAACCATTCCAGTCACAACCCAACTCCTAGAGAAAAAAAAAAAGCCATCATAACCAGTGCTGGTACAGAAAATGTGCTTAATAAATTCTAGTTGAATGAATAAACACCTTAATTGCTTACTCTCTTCTCATAGATGCGGTCACCCAACACCTGCTCTTAACTGAAAATGATCTTTCCAAAATTTCAACTATTTCAATCTCAACTAATACATACAATGGTCTTGTTTTAATCCTTATCCTTCTTTGACCTCCCTGCAACTCTTGGTCCTGTTGACTACCACCACCCCCTCCTATATCTTATCTTCATGGCACTTCTATTTTCTGGTTCTTCTCTTTTCTCTCTCCTTGCCTTATCATCCTCAACCTCCTTTATTAGATTAATCTGTGTAATTGAGTAAAATTTTCTATTAGTTTTGTAAGGGGCTTGCCCTGGGAGTGCTCAAATCTTCTAATATCCGTCATCCAGCATTTTTCTACCACATGACTGGAAAGAGCCTCCTTTGATAGTTTGCTTAGCAGGAATAAGCTGGGTCTTTAAAACTAGTCGGACTGTGACATAATAGTAATCCTGACAGATGACTTTTGTTGAAATTGGTGGTTACCGCTGGAGTATTGGCCTCTTTGTCAGAAGTGCTGCCTAAAGTTAGAACAATGCTTTCTGGAGTAGAAAATGAGCACCACCATTATTTGAGTTCAAATAATACTCTTACCTGCCAGAAGCTCACCTTAAGTGAATGTTTTGGGGGAAGGTACAGAACTGAAGTGGAGATGAAATACTTATTCAACCTTTCCACAAAGTGTTTCATATTTTAAATAAAAACCTTTTAGGTTTCTGTATCATGTTTTACATATTTATCAAAGATTGCTTATGGGTCTTTTCTGTTTTAAGTATTTCTTTTGTAGTGGAGAAAATAACTGTCCTAAACTTGATCTACTTTGTATACTGAGTACCTTACTATAAGGACTCTGTTCTCCAGAAAGTTTAGACTAGTTCCCAGCTCCACCAATACTGCATTAGTGTATCTATTTTCCCACATCCCAGACAGCATTTTTCATTTTCCTTTTCTGACATCTTACCCTAACTCAAAGTTGTTTTAATTTGTATTTCTTTAATAATTAGTGTTTTGGAGCATTTTTTCATATAACTATTGATAGCTTAGATTTTTTTCCTTTGAAAAGTCCTTGTTGATATCTTCTGACCATTTATTAATTACAGAATGGGTTTATTATAAATTTGAATAAAATTTTTACGTCTTTGAAATGGACCCATATCAAAGAATCTTCCTACAAAGATTTTTTCCCTTAGTTGCCTTCTTTCCTTCTAAGTTTATTAGCACTGGCGTGTGTGTGTGTGTGTGTGTGTGTGTGTGTGTGTGTGTGTGTGCTGCATGCACATGCAACCTTTAAAATTTTATGTAATCAAGATTGCTTGTTTTATTTTCTATAATCCTCTCTATCCCTTCCTTGCTTGGTCATGAACTATTCCGTTACATATGTTTGAAACATAATTTCTTTCTTGATCCTCTAATATGTTTATTATAATATATATATATATATATATATATATATATATACACATATATAACATTATATTATATATTATGTATCATATAGGTTCAAGTCTTTTACTTGGGATGTCTTTCAAGTGCTATTAGCTCCAGCTTCCATTCTGGTATAATCTTCCTAACATTAATCATCAGATATACTCTTATATTATTGATTGACCTAATGATTAGTAACCCAACAACATTTAACCAATTAACATCAACTTTTTTTTAATTAAAGAATATTTATTTGAAAGACATAACAAGAATTACAAAAGCATTTCTCCAGTACCTAAGTATACACTCTCCCCTATACCACTGTAGTCTCTGAGAAGCATGAGCTCACATTTAATGTAGTGGCTGAAAAAGCATTCATTCCACTAAATTTATTTCTGAATGCAGCATCTCTGATGAATGAGCTGTTGTCTCTCAACTGCCGTCAATCCACTAAAACAAACTGGAACAAACTGGCCATTCTTTACCTGGATCAACTGTCCAAAAACTTTGGCATGGACTCTAGTTCCTCTACCTTTTTGCCTCGCTTCTAAATCTGCCTCTGGAACTTCCACCTACTAGTCCTACTTTTGCTCTCTGGGGCCAAGAAAAAACAATACTTTCTATATGAGAGTCCTTCAAATACCTGAAGACATAAATTCCTCCTAAACTTGTTTTTCCTTCTCCAGGTTAAATACTCTCAGTTCTTTCAGTTGATCATATGGCATATTCTCAACGTCCTTCATTATCCTTATCTCCTTCCTCTGGATGTTTACAGATAATCTATGCCCCACAATGTGATTTCAAGAATCAAAAATTGCACTCTAAATATAGTTCTCCTATTAATAGAATACAATGGGCATATAATTGGCAAGCTTAATGCATAAACAAGGGAGGAGAAAGAGAAAAAAAGAAGATGAAATAAAATGGAAAAAGAAGAGTTTGGCTAAGGGGGAAGGCTGATATAAAGGGTGATGAATGATTATTACCTAATCAGATAGCATAATCCAAGCCATGACCTATATTTCCTGCCTCTCTTAGGGTTACTTACATCTTATTGAATGCAGAAAAATAAAGTTATTAAGGTCAATGTAGGATCTACTATTGTAATTTCACAAAGTATTTTTAATAATATCCTTTTTTATTAGCCTGTAAAGTTTTCAAAGGTTACCCAGTCTTTTAAAAATGCTGTCATAAATATGGAATCACTAATCATTACCAAGAATTTATAATATAATATAGTACACAGCAAATACCTACTACCAAATTAATGAACCACTGCTTATGAAATTTGCTTAGTGATCAAATGCTATAAAATATTTATAGCTTTTATAAAAAAATTAAATTTCTCCCATGTGAAATACAAAGATTAATATAACACAGACTTGCTCTGGAGAGTTTATTGTTTTTTTAAAGAGCACAAGTCCAGCTTTTACCCAAACTGAATCTATTCTGGTTTAATTAAAGATGAATAGTTTAAGTGGAGGAAATACAGATTTAGAAATTCATTTAGGATGGTGTATTTTTCTTTTATTTTATGCTATTCATGGCAAAAAAAGAAATCAGATAGTAGAATTTTAGATGATTTAAAAAATTTAATTAAAAATGATACCTTTTTTTAATTTAAAAAAAAATTGATGCCATTTTTCTTTCACCCTCCAAATGTATCCTCTCAGGAGATTATCTCTCATAACAGAAATTAAAAGAAAAAAAGGTGGGGGGGACTAATTAAAAAAAAAAAAGCACCCAACAGTTCAAAACATTTCTCATAGTACATGCAATATTTCACATTCATGGGGCTTAGCTTTCCAACAGAAAAGGAGGAACATTTTCTCATCTTTATCATTATAATTACAAAGTTTGGTCATTATAATTACAAAGTGTTCATTTTTGTTTTTTGGTGTTATTTCCATTTACACTATTTAAATTATTCTGTATGTTATTTTTCTGGTTCAGCATCAGTTTATATGATTTTCTATTATTCTCATGTTTGTTGCTTCTTAAAGTGCAATAATCTACCCGAACACAACTTAATTGGTCTCCAATTTATAGGCGCTTTTTTTTCTAACTGTTTACTCACATAAAAAAGTGCTTCCCTAAATATTTTGATGTATATGAGACCTTTCCTTCTATTTTTCACCACTTTAGTTCATATGCCTGGCAGTGGAATCCCTGGATCAAAAAATTAATCAATTTTCACTGTACTATCTAGTGCCTTACTTCTGTTGATATTTCTCCAATTTATCCTATATATCTTGATTGTACATATTTGTTTGTATATTGTCTTTTCCATTAGACTATGAACTCCTTGAGAGAAGATAGTCTTTTTCCTTTCTTTATATTCCTGGGACATAGTAAGTACTTAATAGATGTTTGTTAACTGACTATTCTTACATAATTCCAAATTCATTTATAGAATGTTTGAATCCATTTTCATCCAACAATACATTAGAATACCTGTCTTCATCAAATTTTCTTTGACCTCTTCAGAGTTCATTATGATGGGAGATTATGCACTGATGATGGTGACATGGAACTTCTCTGCAAGTGGCAATCATGTTATCAAGAAATACAAACTTGTTGACTAGATTAATTTTGATTATAAAACCTACACCAGCTTCATGGCACTCCCCTTCATTGCTGCCATGTGTATCCAGCTCCAACTTTGGTAAGTTGGCCTTCATTTGCCAGCCTTGTTTGACTGAGGAATGCTATTTGGATGTGATGCCTGTTGAGTTTTCTTGCAACAAGAGCTCTTTATCTTTCAGGTCTACTGGATTTCATGTTGTCCATAAGTGTGTGGACATTCCATGTACAGATGGTGAGTGGAATCATCTTTGCAAAAGTCTTTGTACATTTTGTTTGTGTGTTTTGACCACAGGGCAGGATCCCTGCCTGCTGGGTAAGCAGGCCAGGATTGGGTGAAGTAGACAGTTTTTAGGGCACTTTTTCTAGCTCCTTCCTCCTGCCAGGAGGTAAGCAGTGCAGTCCTTCAAAGAGGTTGCTTAGACACCCAGAGGGCTGCTGAATCCCACTGCTACTTCGGTCCAGGGAGAAGACAACCCTATGGCCTGGGCCGCTTGGGTGTAGGGTTGTGCCTGCAGCTCCCAGTATATCTGTACCTGGTGCTTCATCACTTCCCTGTTGCCACAGGACTTTGAGGTAGATAAAAAATGGTAAAATGGCATGGGTATAGGTGATGTATTTTGATTCACACATAAATTGGATTTACGTGAGGGAGAGTTGTGTGGTGATTGGTCTTACTCTTTCTTTCAGAGTAATCAGAGTCAAGACAAAGTCAAGATGACCGATGATGACTTAGGATGCAGTGGATGACTCTGGCATCTTCAATGTCTAAGCAAACTCTAAGTGCCCCACACCTGCTTTAGCTGCCTTCATGGCTGATGGAACAAATTATTCTTATATGCCTATTCCTCTGGGGGAAGTCTTCACATATTTGGGGCAGACACCCCCCTAACTCACCGAAGGGTTTGAGACCCTTTGGTTACTCTCAACCTGATTTAACCCATCTACTGAAATGTTTACTGGGTTGTGGCAGCTGTGCATGCTATAGCTTCTTGGAGCCATCAGTGAGAGTTACATGAATCAGATAGACACCAAAGGTGGAAAGCAATCCTCAAAAGGGCTCAGCAGCCCTGATGCTAGAGGTACTAGTCTGGTAAAGTGATGTATGGTACTGAATGAACTGATCATAGAATTACTCTCTCCAAGCTAAATGTTCACATTCAACAAAAGCTGCAGTCCCAAGGCAAGACAAGTACCAGATGACTTAATGTCAACAAATTAGTGCACTTCTCCAAGTGTGAAGTTGGTTGCTGACTTGGAGGGAAAGCTGAGCCGTCACCAAGTTGGCAACAGTAGAGCAGAAAAGGAGTGGGCAGCTTTCAGAGATTTGATGTGCCTCTTTTGTTCATCTGAGTCAGAGCACTCGCAAACATCATGATTGGTTTGATGAAAATTATGGGGAAATTCAGAAGCTGCTAAATGAAAAATGAGAACCCCACAGGATTTGCCAGTAGGATAGTTTGTCTCAAAGAGGACAGAATTTAATACCATCAAAAGTAAAATGCAAGTGAAGCTTAGAGAGATTCAGGATTCTTGGCTCAGTAAGAAGGCAGGTGAAATTCGGTTTTATGCTCATAGTAACAACTGAAAGCACTTTTATGATGCTCTGAAGTCTATTTATGGGCCAAAGACCTATGGTACATCTCCACTTCTTAGCACTGATGGAGCCACATTGATTATTGATGAGGACATATTCCTGGAGAAATGGACTGAACACTTACATAGTGTTCTCAACAGACCATGATCAATCAATGCTGAAGCCATTAACCTTATACCTCAGGTTGAAGTCAATTCCTCTCTAGCCAAACTTCCAACTGAAGAAGAGGTTTTGAGTGTGATTAGTCTCCTCTTGTGTGGCGAACAGCCTGGTGCTGATTCCATTCCAGCTGAGATTTACAAGGCAGGGTGACCACTGCTCAGACGAAAGCTGACTGAAATTTTCTGGGTTATACGGCAAGAGGAGGTTATCCCCCAGGAGTTCAAGGATGCCTCCATTGTCCATCTTTATAAAGGTAAAGTCAATAGATTGTCCTTTGACAATTATGGGAGATCTTTCTCCTGGTCATTGCTGGCAAGATTCTTGCCAGTGTCCTCCTTAATAGACTGACCCTTCACCTGGAAGATGATTAGCTACTTGAGGAACAGCGTGGCTTCACAAAGGACTGAGGAATGGTTAACATGGTGTTTGCCTCCCAACAACTCCAGGAGAAAAGCCAGGAGCAGAACAGAGGTCTGTACAAAATTGTGGCAAAATTTAGGTGCCAAGAGAAGTTCATCAGTATTGTACATCAATTTTATGACGTGCTTGCCCAGGTTCTGAATAATAGATCATGCCCTCCCACTTTCCTAATCACCAATGGAGTCAAGCAGGGCTGTGTGCTTGCCCTCGTGTTTTTTAGCATGATGTTTTCAACAGTGTTGTCAGGTCCTTCAACAAGGATGAAAATCACATCAAGATTAGCTACTGAACTGATGGTAAATTATTTACCTTGAAAAGGCTACAAGCCAAAACTAAAGTGGAGGGAGAGTCAGTGCATAATGTTTTTGTTCACAGATGACTGTGCGCTCAATGCAGCCTCTGAGACTGAGATGTGCTAACCTTGGCAGTATACTTTCCAGTGAAGTCCACATAGATGATAAAGTTGATGTTTGTATTGCCAGAGCTAGTTCAGTGTTTGGGAGGCTCCAAAGGATTGTGGGAGAGAAGAAATATTACAATGCCTACAAACTGAAGGTCTACAGAGTCATTATGCTGACCTCATGGTTGTATACCTGTAAAACATGGGCAGTATGCCAGCACCATGCCAGGAAACGGAATCAGTTCCATTTGAATTGTCTTAAAAAGATTCTGAAGATCACCTGGCAAGATAATATATTGGACACTGAGGTCCTTTCTTGAGCTAAACTGCCAAGCTTTCAAATTCTATTGCAGAGAGAGCAACTCTGATGGGCTGGCCCAAGTTGTTCAAATGCTGAATGCACATTTGCCTAAAAGACTCTTTCATGGGGGTCAGCTAGGTGGCACAGTGGATAGAGCACAAGCCCTGGAGTCAGGGCAACCTGAGTTCAAATCTGGACTCAGATCAGACACTTGACACTTACTAGCTGTGTGACCATGGGCAAGTCACTTGACCCCAATTGTCTAAAAAAAACCCCCAAAACAGAAGACTATTTCATGTAGAACTCACACAAGGCAAGCATTCATATGGAGGTCAGAAGAAGCAATACAAGGACACTCTCAAGGTCTCTCTGAAGAATTTTGGAATTAACTGAATGACACGGGAGACACTGGTGCCTAGCATTGTATGCCTGCATCAAAGAAGGAGATGTGCTCTATGAGAGAAGCAGAATTTAAAGATATCTTCACTCTAAATTCCAAATGTTTACATGGACTATTTGTGCTTGACCTGTGTTAGAGCCTTCCAAGCTTATTTTGGTTTGATCAGCCACAGTCAGATACACTGTACCTTGACTCCAACATAGTGTTGCCATGTTGGTCCTCTTCGAGAACGAAGGACAACCACCACCATAGAACACTTGTCTTCTTATAGTCCCTCCAAAATTGGCTTTTTCCATCTTTTGTCATCTTTGACAATTTGTTGGGTATAGTAGAAACCTTAGAGTTGTTTTGATTTGCATTTCTTTTATTATTAGTGATTTGTAGAAATTTTTCACTTAAAGGTAGTTTATAATTCTTTTAATAACTACGTATTTGTATTCTTTGAATATTTATACATTGAGGAATTGCTCTTGGTCTTATATATTTGTGGATATCACTCTCAGCTTCCTAATCTGTAAAATGGGGTTCATAATAGCATCGACCTCTTATGGTGAAGATCAAATAAGATAACAAGTGTAAAGGACTTTGAAAATCAAATTGTTAGATAAAAAATGCTCTTTGTCTCTCTTTTTCTGCACATGCACATATGCACAGATACACACATGCACAGATACACACACCTACATCTGAATATTTTGACTGTCTGACCCATATCAGATATATTAATGCAAATCTTTTTCCAATCACTAGTTTCCCTCCTTATCACATATGCAATTATTCTGTTCCTGCAAAAGCTTTTCAATTTCATTTAATCTAGATCATACATTTGATCTTTTTGATATCCATTCTCCCTGGTTTTATTAAAAGTTCTCCTCCTTCAGTTATTAAAATACTTGATCCCATTCTCTTCAAATTTTTGAGCTTATTGTGATTTATATTACACATGTGTGCGCTTTTTATGTGTTAATCTTACTACCATCATACACTAAAGGCATGTCCGCTCTTCCCTCTGATGCAGTACACACTTTTTGTCTGGGAAGGGAAGGATGAGAGAATATTTCATAGCTACTGTCTTTACTATGCCATCTTAGTAAATTTGCTTTTCTAAGAGCTATTTGTATCTACTTGCTGATGATCATCGAGAAGTACAACTTCAGGCCCTAGTAAGCTACAGTTTATACATTTAGGAAAAGGCATAAGCTAGTCCCTACCCTCAAAAAGTTCACTCTAATAGGAGAAGACAACATATAAAAAGTTGAAGATTGGGTATTGTGGTGGACAAGTACCCAACTTCGGGGCATGATGAAGTTCTGCAGGTGGGAAATAATGTGGTCGCTGCCATGGTCACTATTTAAGGTGGAGGACCTGGGAGAAGAAACCCACACCAATCAGAAGGAGGAAGGGGCCCCAGACTGAGGAAAAGGGAGTTTCAGAGTTGATTTCATCTTGCAGGGTGATGAATTTCTGGAGAATATAAAATCCATGAAAGCAGCTGAATGGCAAACTTTACTTGGTGTTGGGAGATGAAGTGTCATGCGTGAGGAATTAGAGCAATGAGATCAGCGTCACAGGATTGAAGAGTATTGGGGGACAGAAAGTAAAGTATAAGGCAATTAGAAAAGCAAGAGGGGCCAGATTATGAAGAGCTTTGAAAGGTGAACAGAGGATTTTATATTTGATTCTAGAGGTAATAGAGAACCACTGTAGTTTATTAAATACGGTAGATGAAGTGTGATGATATTATTAGACCTCCATTTTAGGAAGATCAATTTGATAACTGAATAGAAGATGAATTGGAGTGGTGAGAGACTTGAGGTAGTACCAGCCCACAGGCTATCGCAGTAGTCCAGGTATGAGACAATGAGGGACTGGCCAGAGCAGTTGCAGAGTCAGAGGAGAGAAGCAGATGTATACAATCGATATTTAGAAAGCAGAAGGTAGGATTTGACAACTGCTTTTCCAGTCATG